AACACTCCATTACAATTATTATTTAAGCCCTTCTACAACTGACCAAACCCTTCACAAACTTGCCAAACAAGCAAAGCCAATTCACAGATTGACACAAATTCACCTCCCCACCGAAGCCATGAATCAACACGTATGTTAAACTAAAAAGAGAGACTGGAATGACCATGGATAAACACATTCCAAGCATATTTTTTTCAGCTGGAAACTGACCCACATTTGGCTTGAATTAAAGATCCATCACAGTGAAACAAGTAACTAAATGGAAAGATATGAGTCCCTTTGAAGAGCGTGCAAATCAAATTTGGGTGATAATTAGCAGCAGACAATTGAAACCTACTGTTTATTTGCACAGAACCTGACATTTCTGAACTACTCCTTGAATGGACACACAGGCAGCTGAGTATTCTCTGTTTTCCAGCTCCCAGCCCCCTTTTTTTCTTTTTTGAAGCTTTCACAGGTGACTCAGTCAACTCAACAGCTCAAAGCTACTGCCATCTTTTTAAGATCTTTTTTTTCTTCCCCCAAGGAGCAAACAAAAATCCTTCTTCAACTGTTGTAAGAACAACTGACCTTTAAACACTTATGTCTACTGCTTCTCCACTTCCCGTCCAAACACACACAAACCCAGCATTTCAAGTCAATAACTGTCTTTGGATTGCAGACAAATGCAACTACCTTTTGCCTATAACATGTTGAGGTTCCTTTAACCTGATCTCCCCTTTTGTGACAGCATTAATTCCAACCTTCAGACTTGCATCCTTGCACTGACTGGACCCTAGGATCAGAAGTACAAGAGGTGGAACTCATAATATTGCAATTAGCAACTTTCATTCTGAAATGAGCATGGCAGACAAATAAGTACATAAACAAAATTCCCAAGTTTTCACTGTCTGCAAACATCATTCCCCAACATCTATGTTAATATTTACTCCTACTAAGCCAGGCAGGTAAGAAAGAACATTCCTTGACCTTATTTGGGGTAGATGCTAAACACACCTTCACCTTCAGCAGAAGTCTTTCTGTGCTAGCCTTTCTACAAGTTCCAGGTGAATTCTCCCAATAACACACATAAGGAAAATGGGAGTACAGACAAATAGTTACAACTGTTTGTATGACCATGCTTGATCACATGGCTCTGAAAAAACAACAACAACAGAACAAACCTAATCTCTGACAGAACACTAGTACAAGAACTGGTAAAAGTAACTTTAAACTACTGGTACTTGAGGATCCTTTTTTATTTTGTAGTTTGAGATTTGACAAACAAATCAGATAAAACAACAAATCAAGAGCTCCTCTTCAGGCTTCCACAAATTCAATATGGTGTAATTCAAAAACAGTTCTTCAACTCCCTGGGGAAACACTGAAGAGTGAGTTCTCAGACTGGCTGTCAAAGAATCAAATTTCCCCCGTGATCAGGGAAGAGTAAAATAATGCATTCTCAAAAGTTGAACACTAGTTATCACAAGTGTCACTAGGTCGTAGACATCTTCATTGAAAACCCAGAATTTACCTTTCACTGTACGAGAGTTCTCTTTTCCATCAATAAGGAAAATGCAACCTCGCAGAGGGAAAAAAAAAACAAACAGAAACTACTAAAAACCAATAAAAAACAGCACAGTAGCAAGTAGCTTCCACGTCTTTCTTATTTCTTGTAAGAAGTATGTTGCCAATGACAATCACTACTCACTATGATGAAAACACCTCAGTGTTTTAGTCTACTCACAGTTCTTAGTATTTAACACCAGACCTTGCAGATCAGGCACATCCCTTCACAACTGCCTTTCAGATTGTGTTGGGTCCATTGTTGAAACAGTTACAACATGCAAGCCTACATCCAAGTGCAATACTCATTACATTACTAAATTCATTTTTTACCTACGACATTCAGGTATTTTCACAGAAACCTAAGGAGGAAAAATATGCTGTGACCAATAATTTTAGATGATGTGTTAACTCCATGACCTAATACAGCAGTGGATACAATCCTGTGCAAGTTCCAGAACATAAAAAACATCCAGTGTTTTGAAAAAAAAAAAAAAAAAATCACATTTAACCATTTACATTCCAGAGCTGCCCACAAAATCCATCTCCCACACTTTCCTACCTGCCTGTGTTTTTCCCAAACTCTGGAGCCTGCTCTCCTTCAGATTCACCTGAAATTTATGCATAGAGGTTTCTTTATGCAGAGTCCCTCATTCCCAAGCACTCTGTATCTAATCTTTTGCAGATGCAGAGTTTTTATTTGCCCCTGTTGAATAGAGTTTTCCAAATCTCCTGCTTCCTAATTAATTACACCTTCAAAGGAAGGTCACATTGGTTAACCTTAGTAATATTCACCACTTTTTGTGATATTACCCACCCTTTTATTCTGTTTGCCATTTATCAGCATTAGGTATACCTGGCAATATTTAGCTGAAAAGAACTACAGCAGTTTTCCAATCGTTCTGCTCCTGGCATAAAGGATATGCACAACACATGCATCGTCCCAAGCAGGCTTAAAAAAAGAGGGGAAAAAAAGGTCTATTAGATGATTAAAATAAATACATTTAGCTTCTATGTATTAATGCATTTTGAAATTACACTTTGGAAGGAGAAGTCCTAGTCTGAAGTGCAGTCAGCTTGAAACTGAATTAAAAACAAATGATTCAAATTCAGTAACAGCAATATTAATTATATGGCTTACAAAACTTAACTCGAGAGGAACATAACATACAAACATCTGTTTTCTCAGTGCTGGCCCAATAGTTCAAAGCTGCAAATTAAGAAAGCAACAAAATACCCATATTTAGAATATAAGCCCCTTCAGTTCAAAACAATCACTGATGCCAAATTGGGCTGATTGAGAGAGTAAGGTTTTCTATTTTAGAACAGTGTAGTAATTATTAAAAGTAATGATGTCTAGAGAGAAAAAAAGCAATCTACTTAATACGAACACATTTCTTTTGATCACCACTCTAATTCCATTAACCATACGATACTGTCTACCCAGGTGCTGAGATGTTAACCACTGTAGAGTCTGGAAGTCCTTGCATCACTCTCCATTGAAGAAAAAAACAAATTTAGTGGATTTGTTTAAGAAAAGAAATATCATCATAGTCCTTAACAGAAAAGCTTTCTTCCACCCATTTCAACAGACTGTGGGTAAGGTCTCAAGCACTAGATTTCTAGAAAGGCAATGTCAGAGGCCTGCACTGCATCTCTCCAGAGACATTGAGCTGTGTGAGGACAAAACTGTCTTAGGAAATTAACTGGAATGAAAAACCATTATATGGACAAGCTGTAATATCGACAAATGCATGGCAACTCATACAGCCAAGAGTTCAGCACAGTTCTGAAAGTTTGGCCCCTCGCATGACTGCATCATGCAGTGAAAAGCTCTGCAGACATAAAAGTTAGCTGAAGTATTAAAAGCCATTAAGATGCATGTGCATGGACTGACTTTGCTTCCCCTTCAAAGCACCAAATTCCAAAGTTGCTGTCATTCCATCCATTTAACATAGTTACAATTTACCTCAAACGGGAACATTTCATTTTCCACAGATTCATTATTAAAAAAAAAAAAAAAAAGGAAAAATGGAGTACACTCCTGCAGTACAGAAGTCAGAGGACGACACTGCAGAGACCTGGTAAGCTGCAGATGCTGGCACACACCTTAACAAAGCTACACATTACGCTAAGAGTACATTAGAGAAAGGCCTTACATTCTGAACTAGCTTCTCCCAACACGCTGTGTGCTACCCCAACCCCCTCTGAAATATGCTTGGCATTACAATAGGATGATTTTATAATTTTCTTCCCACTGTATGTCCTTCATCTTTTTCTGCCCTAGTACAGCAAGACTGCTCAAATTTGCTCATCTGTTGCACATAGTTATTATGGATACTTCTTTTAAAACTTCTTAAATCAGACACGCATTATCTCACGTGCTCAACAACCTTCAGAAATTCTGCCTTGAAGGAAGGAATAAACACAAGTTGCTTACCCCCTCACCCCAAAACTATTATTAAAAGGCAACTAAAACATACCATGCTCTGCTAACAAAAAGATAATCTGAAGTGACCGTGAGCTGTATAGTCAACTGTACATCCAATGTCTCACAGTCCAAAAGGCTTGCCTTGTAATTTTATGTGGATATGCCAAAGAGGAAAAAAAAAATACAACACATTTAGCCATCCTAACCCAAATAGAGATTAAAATAACAGATAGTTGATTTTATTCATTTTGTTACTGACTGAATCCATGTGAGAAGCTTTCAAAATGCAAGTTTATTTTGTCTTGTTGACAAAATAACTGAATACTAACCATAAAGACTTCTACCTTGCAACTGGCAGGCCCTAATCCACGATGAGAGGTGGTGTACTTCACCAATCCTTCATTTTCATAGCCTCCAAATATAAAGTGTTGAAGTTCCAAGCATAAGAGCTTTACTAGATCAGAATCTCAGCACATTTTCTGCAAAATTCAATCACAGTAAGAAGTCATTACCCCTCTAGAAGTAGGAAGAAGCATTACATCATCAGCAATTAAAGTATCTTCTTCTCACAGCCAAAATAAAGAAATGGGAAATACTGCCAACTCGGATGAGATGGCTGGTTGACAAACACAAACTCTTTTTCTAGTATCTCCCCGAGGTATCAGGAAGATGATACCTCTATTTTGTGACAACAGACAGGAGAAGGAGAGCGTCTCTCAGCAACCTCATCATGGTAAGATTTATAACGACAACATAGCAGGATCACAGTCAATCCTGTTATTCTGGTATGAGTATTACTGCATGTAATGCTGTATGCTATGCCAGAAGAACCAAGCCTCAGTAGCGTATGTTCAAAAGTTTCATAGAGTATGAAAAGTTGGCCTATATAGTATTACATAATATAGAAATTTTTAAAAGCACGGAAGTAGGAATATTTCGCAACCACATTACTAAAAACTGAGAGCATCCCTCTTTTGGAAATGTAAATATTCAACTTAGTTAAATCAAGACAATCACAGATACGCATTTTTCCCAAATCTTTGGCTGTATTGCAATGGTTGTTTCAATTTGTAATCTCCAACTAAACATTTCCTATCCATGGATTAACAATATATTTACTGACTTGTGTCTTTTAACAGTATTTATCCAACATAACAAAATAAACTGCAATTTGTTATACTTTTTTTTTTTTTTTTACAAAACATTTTATAAATATTTTTACAAAATGTATACAAAGCAATTTCAAGTGAGACATACTTTACAAATGAAGGTATTTAAGCAAATAAAGTCCATACCACACTGACAATAAGTGACACATCCTCTTTAAGTGAAGTCAGTCTGTAAGGCCTCCCTAATCTAACAGATAAATTATACTAAAATCTTCAAAATGAACATCTTTTTCTTAATTGCCAGTTTAAAATTTGTTTTAATATTAGGCAGTATTAAATAACATTGAGAACACAATGTTGATCCAGCAAAATAATGAAAACATGTTCAAAGTCATGCACATTCACAATACTTTGCTGGATTTGAGTCCATATGATTAATCTAGACTTCTTAAATTAAAAAAAAAAAAAAAAAAAGTACAATTCTTTCATTTCCTGCTTCATAACGCACCAGAATTCCTTTAGAAATGAATTCAAAGGAGTGAACAACAGAACATGATCAATCTAACATTTACCTTGAATTCATTCAATGGGCTCCTCTCATAAGTAGTTCAGGGAAATGTGTCTGACCAGATCAACAATCATTACTTTTTGCAATTTGTCATTTTTAATGTCATTGCCCCCCACCCCAAAATAAGATCCAATAGAAGACACACAGCCTGATATGCACCAATTGCGTATTTGCTGTACAGATGCTGTATCCATTTTGAGGTGGCACAAAAAGCAAACGTATCAACAAATGTGCAACTTTTTTTCCCCTCTATAAAAGAATTAACTAGTTAGCACACAGCTGCGTCACTTACTGGCTTTCTTCTCAAATCGTTTAGAACAGCTGAATTTCCAAAATCATCAAGTACATACGCTTCAGAATACACAGCCATGAGTATTATTAAACCTAAAAAGGCAACAGGTGAAGACTATATCATCAGTTTCACCCGTAATAGAACAAATCACTGCCTGAGAGTCTATTCTATGGACACTTACTTAGCTAAAAATTTAAAACTGGCAATGCTCGTTATTACTTTGAATATTTTATACAACACTCGGGAATGTTGGGTTTAACAAACATGTACTTTAAAATTGGCACAATTCTTTAAAATGGCAACTAGGAACATTAAAAAAATAAAAAATAAAAAAAAAAACAACAGCATTTCCATCCACTTCAAAAGGGAAAATGAATTTTAAACAAGTTCATCTTTCTCATGTTGCTTTCGAGATTTGGTTTCCTTTAGCGGTCAGACAGTGGATTGTAGCTCAATACTGAGTTGCACTGTAATCTTTCACTGTCACAAGGACATAATTCTGCTTTCCTCTACGCTATTCAGATGGACTGAACTGCATGACAACAAAACTCTACCTTTTGTCTTCCTTCCTGGCAATCTAACTGACAACCACAGTTTGTCACAATGAGCCTCGAGGTTATGAAGACTGTAATCATTAAGTCTGGAAAATGATTGGTAATTTCTAAGAAACTGGAGGGGAGGTCTGGGGAGAACATAAGCATATCTTAGAAATCACAAAAGCTGTATCCTCCTGAGCAGACATATGTACTACCTGCACGAGACTAATGCCAGCGTATTTATGTGCACAAAAGCACTCATGACCAAGGTAAACTATGAAAAAGCAGCATGGGCAGCAAAAAAAAAAAAAAAAAAAAAAGAGACATCATAGATTAAAATAAATAAATAAAATAATAAGATTCTATTTTACCAACATGACAGCAAGCCAAATGCAAACCGTGCAATAGTTTCACTTGGCTCTACAATATGAATTAATAATTACACACTTTTAGATATGTTTTAACAATGGGACTGCTGATCAACTTTGGTCTGTACATATCTTGATAATTATGACTGCTACAGTGGATGCTTCAACATTCTCTGATAGCAAAATTTAAAAAAAAATCAAAAATAAACACTGGCCTTAATTTTTTTTCTGAGTAAGGCTAATGTCCTCTTAAAATATAAGCTACAAATATCTTAACAGCTTTCAAATAAAAGTGCTTTTGACACTTGGTCTAAAAATTAAAAAAAATTAAAATCAAAGAAAAAAATAAAAAAATTATACCACTTCAGAAAGACTCAAGGCTGACTACATCCAATTATAAAACGCAATAGCTCTTCAAGAAGAGTTACTATATATGTAATATATATATAAATTCATGGCTCTATCATGGCCTCGACCTGTACACAAGAAGCCATTTACTGGCTTCCAATCTACCTTCCTTAGTCAAGCATTTATTACTTCATATCATGCCACTGTGACTAAGACCATATAATATCATCTCACAGACTAAACTTACCCACTACAAATATATCAAGGACTAGTTTCTGCTCAAAAAGCAATAGAAAAGCACTTTAAGTTCAACTTATGAAACCTTGTTAACACAGTGATGACATCCTTCCAACTTAAGACTCCTAGAACACAGATTCCATTACAAAGCAAATCATCACTTCTGAATAGAGGTACAGTGGGTTTTCCAGAACAACTTAAAAATCTTTTGTGGATTTGGGGAAAAGGGTAGGGGAGAATTGTTGCTTCCATCGCTTTTTAAAAAACATTTTCTTAATAAATATATCCTTTCAAATGACTGTGATTGTCAGTATATTACCATATTACATAGGGCCTAACGGCCTGCAACCTTGTTATGCTGCAGGACTGCACAATTATCAAAAGCACTATCATAATAATACTTGAAATAGTAAGGCCCTAACAGACTGCATTCTAACAAGGATTAACTTTACTTGGCTATCTCACTGTAACCACAATGAGTATTGCTCTCAAACACAGAACAGAATCTAGTTTAGAAAGGTTAACCTTAAATGTATGTCAGGCTGTACTTGTGGTGTCATTCACATTTGCTTCTGCTAAGAGAAACATAACTTTTCCAGGGTATTGTAACTATTAACACTCTAAGATACTATTTACAGCTGCTTCTAAAATAGAGTCAGTTTCTACACCTTCACTGTGGTCTGGAATAAATTTTTCCAAGCAGTTTTCCTGTGAAGCAAGAGGTGAAAAATTAGGAAATTCTAAGTCAACAGAGCCACTACTCGATGCCTCATTTTGTGTCGGTCTCCCAGTTTTTTTAAGTTCCAAGATATTCTTAAATGTCGTTTCTAAACTCTTACTCAGCAGTAAGTCTTGCTGGGGTTCACTGGAGCCTTTCATGTTATCAGGATGTAAAACCTCATTCTTTGGAGGGCTCCTCAGAGTTTTGTCTTTGAAGGAATTATTACATGTTACCTTTGAGAAAGATTGGACTGTATTCCTTGGTATTTTATTGTGTGTTCCATGACTGCCTCTTGATACAGTTTTTGACAAGTCTTCAGAACTCAAAGAATTCTCAGCTGACTTGGTAAGAACTTTACCAGCCATCTTTTCTTCAGGAAGGGCCTTGTATTGGCTCCCAGAAGAACAATTAGCTTTCTCAAACTTTAAAGCTTTAATGAGGCTTTCCGATTTTTTAGTAGTTCCTTCTTGTGATGTCAAAACGTTGTTAGGCACTAGAGGAAGTTTACTGTGATTTGTGGACTCTGCTGAGCTGAATTTTGGTCGGTCTCTGGTTTGGGTTTTGGTAGTCTGACTTCGAGAAGGTAATGCTTTGCTAGACTGATGGTCACTTTTGCTGGTCTGTGCTTCATCAGCTGTTTTATCAAATTGTTTGGCAGAACAACAAAAATCAGCCTGATAACCATCTGAAAAATTAAGCAGCAACATTTTATTTTAGCTACGTTTACTAAAACCATGTTTAACTATCTAGCATATGTTTACAAAATAATTGTTCAGGTTTTTCTTAGTATTCAAATTTAGGTAACATCTACAGTCTAGCAATTCACGTCTTTAAGAAATATGCATATGCTCAAGAGTAGGAACTTATCACCACATTAAGCAGCATAGTATGCAGATAATGTGCACAGCAAAACCATACTAAAAGCGCTGTAAGTATCTAAATATTCTAATATGATATCAGAAAGACTACTATTTCAGTCCTCTAAATTGGACTACCATACTCCCTCTGAATAGTTTTTAAAACAGCTAACAATCAGTGCCTCACTGTAGATAGAGATATTTTTTAACTGATGATGCTATGCAAACATGCTTAAGACTCAGAAGCTAACCATCACTTACCAGGATCCACTAGTGCAAGACGCTTCTCCCGGGTCAGAGATGCTCTTTCTTCCTGGTTAAACATCCTATCAATCATAACCATTTCTGCAGATGGATTTATCCGCTGCAGGAAAAGGAAAAAAAAAAAACACCTCTGAAGTCACTCATATATTTGTACTAAATTAAAACACTTATAGTTTAGTTACTTTTCAATGGCTTACATATACGTGTGAAAATCATCCATAATTCCATAGCATCTTCAATGATCCTTACAATGACCACAACTTTTGAAATTCAACAATAAAGTATTACAGAATCACAGAATTGTAGAGGTTTAAATTTAACAACTAGAATCACTATAGTAGTTGTAAGTATCACAGCTTTTCACAACTGAATACATTTGTTACCACTGTTTTTCTTAGAAAACAGGACATGAAGTAATTTTCAGAAGAAAAAAAAAAACAGCAAAAATCTTGCAGTTGGGATCACCACACGATCTTGTTTCTCCTCTTCACTTCTCTCCCAGAAGTACTGGTATTTTCAAGTAGTTTACGCTGAGTTGCATTTTGCAGTCCATGCCTTCATGCCAGTGGATGCATCCATCACAGAAAAAAAGCTCACTGGCTATTAAGTCACAACACAGGTAACTAATTCCAAACTTAAGCATTCTTCTGGGTAACTTCATTCCAAAATGACTGAACGGGATGTATCATACAACATTCCAGATGCTAGAAGAACAGATTTTCACCTCTATCTCTCTTCCACTGCAATTACTTGCAAATGTACATGGATGGTAACTATCTTTTAAACAGGACTGCCAGATTCCAAAGCCATGTTAGTTGTGACACTTCTATTATGAGATCCTGTCTTACTATGCATTCCTGTTCCTAACTGAATCTGATCTGAATTTTTTTATACTCTAATTTTGAATTTTTTTCAGACTTGAAAACTATTGTGTCTGAAGCCACAATGAGATCCCGATACTTCCAAAATACATTCAAGTAACTGTGCAAGTTGGATTTCTTTTTACCTCAAACCTGGGATTGTGAAAGCATTTCAATTAGTAGTATTTCTGATAAAAATAGGAAACTCCACCCAGTTTCTAAGGAGAACTAACAATTTCCTAGATTAAAATGAGCCACCAGTGTGCCCTTGTGGCCAAGAAGGCCAATGGTACCTGGGGTTGATGAACATGGCCAGAAGGTCAAGTGAGGTTCTCCCCCTTTACTCTACTCTGGTGAGACCATATTTGGAGTTCTGAGCTCCTCAGTTCAGAAAAGACAGAACTTCTAGTGACAGCCCAGCAGAGGGCTGCAAACATAATTAGGGGCCTGGAGCATCTCCCTGATCAGGAAAGGCTGAGAGACCTGGGACTGCTCAGTCTGGAGAAGGGAAGACGGAGAAGACCTTATCACTGGTGATAAATGACTCCCACCCACTAGATAAGTGGATGGCACCAGGCTCCTTATATAGCTGTCCACTGGAAGCACAGCCTGTTCAGAGCAAGTGCAAAGTATAAACAAACAGCAGAAGTTAATGTGCCCTTAACATCTACTGAATTTACAAATGAACAGCAGCCTTTGGCAGTGTGTCAAATGAACTCAACGTAAATCACTGATTTTAAGATACAAGTCTACACTGAAAAATCCAAGCTGGTCACTGAAATAGCTGGTACAACAGTAAACTTCACATATACGTGTATATATACTTCTTCATATACACACACACAGTGATATATCATTAAAGAGAATAAACAAAATCAACTGTAATGCCAGCTCTCACCTTCCTGTGTTATTTTTACAAACTCAATCACATTATATAAACATTTCTTCTATTTGCATTACGCTCCTTACCATTGCATCTTCTATAAGTAAACATCTGTATTTGTTCAGCATAGCTTGTGTCCTCTTCAATAGCTGTGTAGCTACAGATTCAAATTCACTGTCCACTAGAAAGACAAGAACACACTTTCAAACGCTGTACTTCAGTAACTTGCACAAACTTTAAAACGTTTCCTTTCTAATTGCTCTAAATTGCACAAAGAATTCTCTCAATACGTTAATTACAACCCCAATGCCAATTTAAAAGATGGAAATTACCTTTTTTTAAGTCTTCCTCAGTCGGCAGCGACCCCTGACACACATGATATGAAAGGAGTCTCTGAAACGCATCATTTAATGATCTGAACTGACTTTTATCTGGTGTCACAGCTTGCATCTGATCCTTCTGTAACTGCTGTAGCATACTGCAATGGAAATTGGTATCTGTAATTAGCACATAATCTAGCCAAAGTTTATACACTACCAAAAACTAAAGGGAGATGAAAGTTGGAGAAAATATCTGTAATAAAATTACAAAAGAAGCCAATGACTTACAACGCTCCTTTAGTTAACTGTTTAGCAGCAGGTCGTTTCTGTCCAACTAAATGACCATCCACCTAAGTCCAAAGTAAGAGACAAATTATAGCACATCCCTTCTTTTGCAGAGCTCACATTTCAGCATTTATTTTTGCCAGCTAAGTGTACCAATACTAAGTGCAATCACCAAGAAGGTATGAACACATTTAACCATCTCATGTTTTCATAAGGCACATTAACAATGAAATAACGAAGTCAGTCCTCTTACATCACAATCTTGTTTACAGGCAAATTCAACTGCAGTGCTTATACATTCTTCACCAGGAAAAAGGCTGGTTATTACCAAATTTAGCAGGTGAAAAGGTTTCTTTTCTTTTGAAAATAAAGCTGCTCTCAGGAACTGTCTTCCCCATGTCATCCTGCCTGATACTGATGGATTAAAGTATCTGTCTGGGAAGTAGGCTAAGGTTGTATATGTACATTTTCAAAAGCCTGGTATTTGACTGTGGGCTGAAAGCCCTGCATTTTTTTCAGTGTTAACAATCCACATATAACCATCAGATCTGTGTCTTCTGCATTCCTTACCTTACTAATGATTTATGAAATCATTTTGCAGCAGAACGCTGTCCTAAAATACGTGGTTCTCTAAGGTAGTAGAGACTCAAGTTCCGATTATACAAGAGGCATTGCTCAATCCAAATCTTCCGAATCAGTTATTGTGAATCCAAGGGCTTTTTTGTTTAATACAAACTGTCGGGTTTTTTTTTCCCGAGACACTGCCAACTGGTCTAACAAAATCAGTCACAGAGGAAAAAGCTACTTCTGATTTTAAAACAGATTGAGTGAAAGCTCTTTTAAGTACAGAACATCCTCCTTACCAAAGCAGGAATGGCATGAAGCAGGCAAACAGCAAATAGTGCTTGGTACCTTCATTGCACAGAAAGCATTCACCTTCACATGAGAAAGCAAATCTGACCAATAATTAAAAAACCAAGCTGAACTCATAACTGAGCACTACTTCATACTCTGTACAAATGTATTTCAATCAGTACAGTTACAGCAGCGAAGAGAAATTGTAAATCAGGTCCTTCCCCTTTTTTTTCCCCTGTGATTTTGTAATTTAGCTCCATCCACAGCTAAACTTGCACCTCCTACCCTAATTCAAGCCCTCACCTCCTATCCTCAATTGCTCAGTCTGGGAATGTAACAACTGTACCCTTCCTCACAACTTACTTGTATTCTATAAAAACTGGCCTCCCCATCCAGCCCCAAACCCTGGAAGCACTGTTAAATTTTTTGTACATAATTCTCACATAGGAAAACTTTTGGTGGGAAACAAACACATGCTGAGGAAAGAAGACAATGCAGTAAGAATCAAAGGCTAGATGGAATTTTCTTCCTCCTTCTCATAAACCATCCCCACCCAACCAGGTACACAATAGCTGAGTTTACAAGAAGTAACAGTATTGCCTAACTCATCTTCAACCAAATGAAAGAACTGTGATGTCATATCAAATTATCTTCAGGAAGCAACAAACTCCACTAAGCGAGGACATCTCGAAACAGCATTTCCAGAATATCAACTGGCAAAATACTCCATGTTTGCTATGTCAACCTCACTGAAACTTGAAGGGAAACATATAAGTGAAAGTCTTCTCTACCTGTATACACTGAACTGAAGATGATCCTACTCCTTTTTCTTGTGATGTTCCAAGAGATTGCTGTACGATTTTTCCTCCAGAGTCCTGCCCTATAAAAAATACATTAAAGAGACTGTAATCCTAAGCAAGAACAGAACCATTTAATGTACCTATCCCAATCATTCTACTTGAGTTTTTGTCTTTTAGGTAAAAGACGCCTCACAAGTTTAAAAACACTGATAGAACTACCCTGGGGACAGACTGGCACCTAAAAATGGAACAGGACTGATACTTTGTGCTGCAAACTACAGAAAGCCTAGAATATAAGGATTTCCTATCACAACACTGCGACACACCAAGAATTTCAAGTACCGTAAATACAGTGTCCCAAAAATTACTGAAAAAAAATCACAGTACATTTTAAACTTTTCCATATTCTTCAACTATCAAACTTCACTGAACTTTTCTGTAACTTATTCATACTGTCACAAGAGAAGATACAAAAATTTCAGAGAATTCTGTAGTTGACGTCTGTATTTCTTCAAGTTGCAAAAAAAAAGAATAGAAGACAGTTCAGTTCCGTTGGATTTTATGGAGGGGAAAACTAATTCCCTACAGACCAGATTCACCTTTTCAAAAAGCACACACTGAACACTGAAAAATTTTGTTTGCAGTCTCCTAAAAAAAACCAAACATTCCAATTACCTCTATCAACACGAGCCAGCAATGCAAGTCTGACACTGTGAAAAAGAATCTACTGCTGCTGCTGCAAAAAAAAAACAACCTGACAACAGAATGATTTTTAGAAGACCATGGTTGACCTGATAGGGTGTTGCTCAGAAGACTTGACAGCTGATGTTGTCTCAAATTATCTTGAGCCTTTGACGCAGAAACTGGTGATGTCTGGTTCATACCTTTCTTCTGTGGCACATGCGTTAAAAATAAAAATAAAAAGCTGAAGCATTTACTGAAAGCTTTAACAAAGAGGAAAAGAGCAAGAACAGGCAAATGCAGCACTGTGCATCCTCCCTCAGCCTCAAGCTCGGCACTGGTGAAGTCTCACCTTGACTTCTTCCACTGGGTTCAAGAACTGCATACAGTAAATTAGAGAGGAATGGAAACTCCACCAACAGTACAAATACACAGAGGGTGCATTCTGGATGCCCTGCGATTCACCCTGACTCAAACTAAAAGCAGCCTTCAGGTAGCTCAGCTTTTGAGAGTCTCAAAGCTGCAAAACAGTCTCAAGAAAAACACTCAATAGAACAAACTCGACGGTGTTCAGCAACTGAATGATACTGACCTTATGATACCGTACAACATTTAGGACTTAAGTACAAACAAGCTAAGGAGATTCTGGGAAGCAGTAGAATCTGTTCCCTATAGTTAAGACCACACTGGCCGCTTTTTGGTTCCAAAATTTTACCTGAAAAATATATTCTTTTACAGCAATAAGGAATTCTATGCTTTTGTAACTGCTGAAACTCACTGGCCTCAGAATGCATCCTACAAATACAAAAATAGAGACATATGAAGAGAAAGTCAGTGTTCAAATTACTCATCTGCAAACAAAACATTACAATCTGTGCTAGCAGTTTTGGTGAAGAGTGAAAATTTGGTCCTACATGTTTGCCTTTATTTTCTAAATAAAGCCACAATATTACATTGCCTGTTTTGGTCTCGGTTAGCAAAAAAGCATGAGACCTTTGGGAAAAAAGAAAAAACAACAGTAATTGGTGCAATTCCATTCTGAGATGATAGCTATCAGTATTTTATAATGACTAAAGAGAAAAAAAAAAAACAAACTAGACTAAAACAAAGCAATAAAAAGCAGAGTTGAGATAATTGTTAGTTGCTAATTATGTTAGATGCTAATGAGTGCAATACTGACATGCTTCGGAAACTCATTTATGAAAGCAGATAACTTAAGCTGAATATAAACTACAGCTGCATCAACTGGACACTTCCCACCCTAAAGGCACGTTCAGAACTTTTAAAATTACTTAATAGGCCTCTTCCTAGAGATATTTTTTACAAGCTAAACTTCTACAAACTGCTTTAGAAAGTATTTCCTCCTAAGGACTTTGAGAAACACCTTTCACCTTTTCTTTGACTGCTTCAAATTTGAAAGCTTCTAACTGCTCCAGATCCAAAAGAACTACAAGCATGCAAAATTCCAGAAAGATTAATGGTAAGCAGTTGAGAAAATACCACTATGAATCACCACTAAAAACTTCTGAATTAACAGAAGCAACAGGCTCATTCACTCAGTGACAAACTTCAGAAAATACTGAGTGAAACGACACATCTGGGTTACAGTGATTTTCAGCAGTTACACAGCATTTGTAATACTACAGCCTAACAAAGCCTACTTCCTCCATATTAACAATTTTAATACTTCATTAACAAGATTTTAGCACAGTTTAGAATCATTTCTTCAGCTGTATTCTGAAGCAGTTTGCTTACCTGACTGAAGGCGAACTGTTGCTGTGTTACTCCAACTGATGTGTGACTAAAGGTGCTGATGGATTTGGAAGAGGATGCTGGAAGACGATGTGATGAACTGACAGGAACTTGAGTCCTGCTCTGTGCGAGCTGATCTCCAGTAAAGTTTCCTCCAGATGCAACAGACTGAACTGAAGGTCCCAAGCTAGGATGTACCGAACCAGAAGAACTTACAACAGCAAATCGATTAGAAGCTGACATATTTGAGACTGCAGACTGCCCAGGTGACATTGTCGTAAAACTCGATCTACCTTGAGAAGCACTAGCTTGACTGGGTGACAAATGCAACACTGTCGGTGATGCCTGCTGCAGTGGCACCTGTCCACCAACAATTTGTGAAGTTCCATGATTTACTATAACTTGGTTTCCAGGAGCTGTGAAGGTCTGGCCAGAAACAAGTTGAACAGCTGTGTTCTGATTATTCAGCATCTGTCCAGAATACGACTGGTTGGCTCTCAGCATGTTTGTAGAGTTCCTGTTGAGCATTACATGCTCGGCAGACACTTGGCTAGGAACCAACTGGGAAGGCTGCGTCTGAAGAAGCTGTCCATTTATGGCCTGGACATGATGAACTGAGTTTGAATTAACAGCCAAACTTGTAGGTATGAGAAACTGATTTTGAGGTGCGTGAGGCTGTCCCATAGGAGAATGGATAACAATACTACCTCCAGCATTACTAACTGTCTGAGGTGTAACTGATTTTCTTGTATTTTGTTGATTAACGATGTTAACAGACATATGAGGACCAACTACTGAACTCTGAGGTGAGCTTGCAGAAGCAAACGGAATCCCTTGCTGTACGTGATGTTGCTGTATTCCCAAGTTGTTCACATTGTAAGCAGACTGCTGACCCATCTGGACAGGCTTTGGTTGGATATTAATGGGTACTTTGTTAGAGTTTGGCGCTAAACCCCTTTGAATTATGATATTATGGACAGGTACAGATGTCTGAAAATTTGTGCTGTTAAACGGAACTGTTACAGGTTGTGCTACAGGACTTGTATTTGAGTTCCCAAACAGTGAGTTACCATTTGGAGTTTGTCTATGAACCAAGAGGCTACTGCTCATGTTTGCAGGCGTCTGCTGACCATTACCCTTCAGTATTATCTGAGATCCATCGAGGTTATTAATGGTCATCATGGAAGGCTGATTACTAAATGAACCAATCAGCTGTATCTGCCCTGAACCACTAATCTGGTTGCTATTAGACAAATGCTGGCTGGGAACACTAATTCCGACATGTTGCATAAAGCCATGTTGCACGCCGACTGTATTGCTTGCAAAAGATGCTCCAACAGGTTGCTGTACCACTTGAGTAACTCCTACAGGTTGCAACGTCTGACCTGAGTAATTAGAAACATTAGAAGCCTGAGTAAAGGATGCTGATGAAGAAGGATGAAGCTGAGCTTGTGCAAACTGTTGACTAGAACCTACACTGGCATCCAAATATGCCTCTTCTGCCAAAGTCTGTTCAGTGATATTGGCCTCCTGCAAGGACTTCTGAAGAATATCAAAAGGTTGATCCTCACTAAGATCAGGTAAAGGAGAAGACACAAGTTCATCTTCAAGAAATTGAAGGCTACTGGACAGCTGCAGTCCATCACTAGGCCCCTCTCCAAGCTGATTGCTTACACCTTTTACAGACGACTTAGGATCAGTGTTCTGAAATGAAATACAATAAAATAAATCCTTTTCAGAAATTCTCAACCGTTTCCCCATTAAGCCTTTTCACCCAAACAAACTGCCATACTACGATCACACAGTGCAAATTAGCAGCCATTTCACAACATTAAGGAACTGTGTTAAGTCTTTGTCTCGAAGAGTTTTAGAAATAAGAGTAAGAAAAACAGTGCTACAGATTTTGTATTTTTATGTCTTCAGAAAAGATTACAGAGAAGAACTGCCACTAAAACTACAGCAAATATTAAGCAGCATGTTGAATTAAAAATGCTTCTAATGTACATCTGTAAATATTGTAAAAGAAATCAGATCCAACTAGCCCACTTTACTTTGGTCTACTGTCAAGTTTTCCTTAAAATAAGTAAATAAATAAATAAATAAAAATAAAAAACACCATAATATGCCCAGAATCTCTTAGCAACACAAATGTCAGGTTCTTAAGGGAGGGTAGGAATGACAAATTTAAATAGCTATTAAAGACTTGCAATTGTTATAAGTTAGATAAGAATACACCTTCCTAAATCCAAAATCACATCGCAACTTTTGAAAAAACATCCAATTTCTTCTTAGATCAGGATTGCATAACGTGGGTGGAGAAATTATTGGTTGCCTTCATATTCTGAGCTTTCACTCCTTAAATGTCACAGACATTTGTTTTCACCTCATATAAACAAGTGAAGACACCATAAGCTGTAATTATCACATGCAACCATGTCCCCACCCTAAATATTTAAGCATATTTAATTCAGAATTTTAACCCAACCTGCTTCTGAAACAACCTGTATATTTTACGAAACTTCAGCCATGTTACAAAATATTGAATGTATTAGAAGTTAACAAAATATTTGTATGTCTTTATATACGTATAAAACCACACAATTTTATTAACATATATGTTTATTAAAAGAATTAAATCAGTACTTAAATATCTTGATGTCTCCACTGTACCTAACTAACATCAGCAGAGCAAAAAGTAGTCATTATACAGGGCTCTATTGGAACTCAGGACCCCCAGATTCCTGGGCAGAATTCCTTACCGCATCTGTAAATTGTCTCCAATTAATACTGTTACCATTAGTACTAACAATACAACAACTAATAATAACAACAGCAATTGTAATAATAAATAATAACATTGTACGCAATCAAGACAAAGAGCTCGAAACTTTCCCTCCGAAATGAAAAACATTGAGATTCACTCCCTGCTCCCCGGACTGGTTAACATCCAGACACAATTTTACCTACACAAACTGGAAACGTATTCCTAATCACTGCTGCCATGATTCTAACAGCCACCCAGAGCATTATGCTATTTTCAACAAGAAATCAGTGCCTCTGCAATTTTATAAATCTGTTTCAATACAGTCTTACTCTCACTGGCCTCATGCACATTCTGCTCTCAAACTGTTCCACTGTACCTAGCAGGAAACTGACAGAAGTCATTGGACACAACCCAGGCAATGACTGTGGAACTCTCCCATGAGAGATGTAACAGAAACTGATGACAGCCAGGAAACAAACCTGTAATCAGTGGAGAATCACTCTGAGGGGAAGTAAGGAGAAAAAAAAAAAAAACCTAGAAAATAAAAAGCAGACACTGCCTTCTCTTCCTAAAGTCACTGTGAATTTCATCTTGTTTGTGTTAGATGCTGGCTGTGCATGCTTACCAGCTGGGGCACTGAACCCTTGACACTGAATTTGTAAATTCTGCCACTGAAAGGCATTACATGGCACCAACACAGTCAATCCTACTTCATGACAGCAATTCTGAATACATACAAAACCAGAATCTTCAGTACATGCAAGAATTTTAACAACAAAAGGAAGTCAGAAATCCTCAACTTTTCAGGTGTCTTAAGTTATATGCAGGGCCTGTGAATCCAACCACCAGTGGGATTTGTATGGAATACCAGCACCATCTTTTCTCCCCTCCCCTCCTTGGGTAGAAACCATGTGCTGACTTGAGTGAAAAACAATTTGTTTGTGAGGATGGATGAACAAGTCCCTTGCAAAGGCACAAGAGGTAACCAGAATACAAAACCCACTCAAAATTACTACCAAAAATCTCAGCTTCTGAAATACACCAAGAATTATCCCAACTTCTGCCTATCTTTTCACGCCTATCAGAAAAATGTCTGCAAAGAACAATTAGAAAATCTACGCTATGACAAATATATGTCATATATCATCTTTTTTCCCCCACAGCCTCATCTTTCTTAGGATGCCACAGTACAACAGAAAGAGCAATTAACAAGAAAACCATACTGCATATGTTAAAAAAGCTGAATGTGGGGATAAGCATGTGATAATAAAACAAAGAAACAGCAACAACAATAATCAACTAATGAAATACAAGAAATATGGGTTAGAAGGAAACCACCGAGTCCAGCCTCCTACTCAAGGGAGTCTACTGCCAACACTAGATCAGATCAGCCTTGGCTGTAACTCCAAGTACATGAAGCCCACAACATCACTGAGTAAAACGTGATCCAGTGCAGCAACACTCCTAGCACAAAGAATACTGGAGGGTTGGAACTAGGTGATCTTTAAGGTCATCTCCAACCCAAGCCATTCTACGAGATATGATTCTGTGACTACTTACAACACCTAATGAATTTCAAGTGAATTCTCTAACAGTGAAATTACAGTAAGAAAACATCCCCAGCTAGCTACTCAGTGTAAAGAACAAAAAAATAACATGAATTAAACTTCATAATTGCTAGCTCTGATTTTACTTAGAAATAAGGTACGAAAATATCCTACAATTCACAGAAAATGTATAAATAATACATTTAGATGCAGAAATAATACATCAGATATAGAACAGATCAACCACATCTATGATCAATAAACTTACATGCCCAATTCACTGAATAGTTACAGCAGAGAACATTTTCACTGCTCAGCAAGTGGCTTTTGAAAATTTGCTAAAAAATGGCCTAGTAGTGCTAATGTCTTTTGATTCAGTCACTACTGAAAACCCAACAGAAATACTTGAGCAGCGTGAGGTGGTTCAACGAGAACATTCAGAATTTTTATGTGGAAAAGGTCAAAGCCCAAATTTACTTAATTCACTTTTTAAGAGCCAAATAAAGCTGCAACAAAAGCATGCAGTTTCAAAAACCAACATTTCTCTCCTGACCACTTACATTGGAGTTGGCGAAAATGGAATTTGAGTTGGCTACAGAATATTCTGCATTTGTCAAGTCTTCGTTGCTCTGGTAAAAAACAAAATCATGTTTAGAAACAATACACTCAGTAAAGGTTTTGTATATCTCACACACAGGAAATGCTACTTACAGATTTATTACTAGGTCCATGCAGAAAATAATTCAGTGCCTGCGGGTCCCTTAAAAAAAAAGAAGAAAGAAAGAAAGAAGTTACTACTTCAGGCAACTCTTTCTGCTAATGAGGTGAATTTAACTGAGTCAGACACTTAACTCACACAAATCAGGTTTGTTTCACTGACCCCAGTGCACAGTTCAAAGTGTACACCATTTGAGGCTCCTTGTTTCTTTATCAGAATGATTTGCAGATACTGATCAGATTTACTGTCATTGCACAAAGACATTCCAAACAATCGACCACATTCATCACAAAATCTGAGTTACACTATTCTTTTTATGAGGGCATTACTTTCATTCTCTCAAAACACAGCATTTCACAACCTACAAAACCTAAAGAAAATACTGCAACCAAGTAACACGAGAACTAAAACAGCCACCATCTCCTCTACTGAGGTTAATTATTATGCCTGCTCAGCTACTGTTTAAGTCAATAAGATTTGTTGGTTTTTTTTTTAACCAGGTCAAATCTTTTAATGTGTTTTCTGACACATTAACAAAAAGCTTTTGTTTTTTTGCCAGAGTAAAAAGCTGCACCAAGTGAAATCAACCACACAGATAACTGAATGAATGCTACAAAAAACAATTTCAGTGCATTTCACGAACCTGGCACTATCACTGAACAGAACTCAGATTTAAAACATGGTCTGACAGAATGAGTGTTGGAAATTCAAATAATTTAAAAATACTTAAATATAATTGCACAGTAGACCTCATAAAAAGCATTAAAAATGTGCTACAAGTGATTATTTTAAGTTATTATAAATCATTTCCCAACATGTCCATTAGCCTAAAGAGCAAAGTGACATAGAGTCTTTTAACTTCAAAACATCTTTATTAATTAAGATGCAATAATAATGTAAAAAAAAAAAATTGAGAAACAGGAGATCCTCGTTGAAAAAAGTTAATCCAAACCATCCCTCCTCTCTCCATCGTCCTAGAAAGTAAAAAGGAAACAAGTTAATATATCAGGTTTAACAGTCTTCTAAAAGCACAGAAACACGTCTCTTATTTGGGAAAAAATATACTGCATTCATGCATTTATCAAGTACATGTTAAAAAGGCAGCATTTGCCAGAGACTTCGTGGTACAATTACATTTACGACAGACAAGTAGCTACATATATTGCAAGCAAAAGAATCATTTTCATAGTAGAAATTTCAAGAATTCAGGAGAAAGATCACTGTATGAGCTCACGAGGTCTGTCACACTTACTTTACTGATACATTATCAAGCGATTTAATAGCAACTTTGCTCACTGGCTTTAAGTCATGAAACACACAATTAAAAAGCGAGAATACTTCATCACCTTAAATAATGGTTTTAATAACAAAGGAATTTTAGAAGGCACTTACCAAAAACCAAAGATGCTGCTGTCCATTCTTCTAGACAGTAGAACAGAACAGTAGACAGCTTACGACAGCAATTGCTGTGAGCACCAGGAAAAATGCTGTAATTTTTCAAATGCTCACATGGATAGAGAGCACTTCATTTTCTGGACCACCTGTGAACTTGTACCAGGATCCTCACAATTCACACTCACAGCTCAGCATTTAATTATCCAATGCAGCCAATTACCATCTTTATGGTAAAGCAGGACGTCTTTTCATTTTTCATAGCTTCAGTCAGTGATCTCACACAGCACACAACGCAGAATGTAACAGTGATCCACTCCAGCCAACACTTTTGCTGTAGCATCCACAGAGTAATCCCTAAATTACGGTAGCCACTGCGATAGCATTTTGCTTTGCTCTCAAGTTCTCATGGGTTTTGCAGGAAGTCTTCGCATAAGAAATGTAGAAAAGCTATTTACTTACTACATGTAACATAGTATTAAAAAAAAAAAATCTTGTATGAAACAGATGCCGCATTTTAATAGCTGTACATGCAATGCCATACTGATTTTTCATAGTTTGAACAAAAGTACCACATAGGAGATGTTTCCTCTCATGTTTTAAATGTATTACAACACATTACCTGTTCTCAAACACTTGATGTAAAAGTCAGTCAAGCAAAGGCAACCTGTCATTTATACAACTGACAGGAATCTTGCAATGCAGTAATCTAGTTGTTGTATTATGAGATACTTATATGGACTATATTACTGCAAAAAGATCTGTAATTCATATTTTAGAAAAAAGCAAAATCCCCAACTTGATTAAAATCAGCACCTCTTGAGCAAAATGGTAACAAATCCTTGTTTGCTGTGGATACATTACAGTACCAGGTAGCATTCTAATATTTTCATGCAAACACAAGTTACTAGTAGATATTAAGGAGTTTTGTTTTTTAAGAAAATTACATAATCTTACTTTTCTCTTTAAAATACAAACACTGTCAACAAATTTTCCAGCTCCACCACTCCAAAAGCTAAAATTCCTTTTTTTTTTAAACCCCCCCAAAAAAGTTCTCTGCAATGAAGTCTGTAACAACATCCCTACTACTGTGCTTCTGCAATGACCCTGTATTACCATTAACTGAAAAGAGACTTCAGCTTCCACGCCCACTCTTTCCTTAGCTGCTCTTGAGAATAATGCCAACAAGTGGAGTGTCATCTAGCACGAAGTGGGACTGAAGGTCATCTTACACATACATCTCCAAGCACAGCTTCATTTCATTTCAACACAGCATAGCTACTCATCTTATTTGCAAATCACCTAGTGTTGATATGATACCCAACCTTTCTGAGGAATTGCACAGGCAAAACTTACCCAATAAGATCAAGGAGACAGGATTCATCATCATCATCATCCATGACAACTAGAAGGAAAAGGAAGAGGATATATATTCAGCAAACACCAGAGAACATATTATTTTCAACAGCAAAAATATTTTACAATATCTCAATAGTTTTTATCAAACAGTTTATGTGAGTTGACAGACATTTATTATTGCCAGAATTCTTAAGTATTAACAAGCATATTCTACAGAGACCTACACAAATTCACTAAGTTCGTCTCAAAACCAAATTCAGCCACACGTCATGATCTACAAAACTCCATACAATACCATTATTAGGGTTTTTTCATTTTATTGCTGTTGTTTCTTTTTTCTTCATAATGCTCAGCTACAGCTAGTCACAATACACCCAATTTCAGTTTCTCCTTAACAGCACTCAAGAGTGTACTTACATGAACTTGCAATTAATAGTACAGAGTTCTGAGAATCCCTTTAAAAACAGGTGGGCAATTCATTTGCATTAGCCAAACTGAATGTAGGCATCCACTGGGCACAGAGCATTTTTACTCTGACAGCATCCCAGTCACCAACTCTTGTACTCGCTGATTACTCAGATTAGTACTACCTGTAACAAATATGCTCCCTCATTTTTTCCTGATTGCTGTTCCTTTGAAGCTTCCATCTGCACGACCCTGGCTCTCCCATTTACTGTGACTCTCCAAATCTCATCAAAGACTGTAACACCTTCTCTACTTCCTGTCGGTAACTCCCACAATCTCTTTATCTTCCCTTACTCCCTGCAGAGATCCCAGCTAATCAACTGATGATAGCATCTCCTATACCTCTTTACATCTCGGCATCCATTCCGTTATCCAACATCATCCACACAATATCATATAATCAAATCAAACCGATTCCTGCCATGCCTGTGTTTTTCTCAGCTCCCCTTAAAATTCTGCCACCATATTTAACACTGAAATTTATAATTCTAGTTAGATTAAAATAAATTGAAGCCAATCTCTTATGTCGAAACAGAAATTTACTCCCCCCCACCAGCTCTACACACATCATTCTGTGGGCTCTCATGACTGTTCACAGTGATTGAAATGAAGGGACCTGTCTCACAGGAGGCTGAAAGCACTGGGACTGTTCCATCAGAAGAACAGAAGGCTCGGGGGCGATCTTAGCAATGGGTAGAAATGCCTGACGGAAGGACATAAGGAAGACAGCCAAATTTCTGTCAGTGGTATCCAGTAAAAGAGGCAAGGGATGCAACATGTTTCTGTTTAAACTTAAGAAAAAAGTTATTTTCTTGTGAGGTTGTCAAACAGTGGTGCAGGCTGCCCAGTGAGGCTGTGGAGTATTTGCCTCAGAACAAATACAACCCTGCTGATGCAGCCCTGGGCAGCCTGCCTTGGCTGGCACTCTTGCCAGCAGGGCATTGGACAAGGCATTCCCAGAGGTCCTTTCCACCTCAACTGCCCCAATTCTGTTATCTCTTTCTACACCTCAGTGATTTTGAAGCTAGCTTCTAGCTCATACTAACAGAAAATACCCCAGCCCTTACATCATGCAGCCCCATGCTTATTGACTGACAGCATGCAGCAGAGGATCGGTCATGGCAAGGATGCCTCGCTATCTCTGCTCCAACAGAACAGGAAAGCAGACCGTGCCCACAGCCAACTACTTGAAACATTAGAGAAAAATCAGCATTCATGAGCTGACTCTGCATTTTAAGGAAAATACTCTCACCCATGATTCAGTGTCACATCTGCTGGCTGCTGCAAAACAGCAGCATAAACGCTGGTCTTGCAACTGAATGCTAAGCAAATTACAAGACATTTTATAATGTGGCCAAATTTAAATGCAGATGTGCATTAGTAAGAACAAATCAGTAAGTGATTAGCATTTTGCTTTAATGGCACTGTTAACACTTCTTACAGGAAGCTATTTCCTTATGCAGCATGTACAGCTCTCAAAAGCAGGTTCCAAAGAATCCTAGCTAAACGAAGGGAGAAGGAGAAAAAAATAAAAAATAAAAACAGGATTTTTTTTCACACTGCACGCCTACTTTTAAAAATCCCATTCCATATCACTATGGTAACACTAACACTACTACTTGAAATCAGCAAAACTCCTTCACTTCACCAAACCAAACATTCTCTGCGAACATACAGTAAAGGCTTATCATTGTGGGAAGCCCAAGCAATCACACAGAACTTTGTTGAACTGCTATTCCAATGGGTATTATAACTACTAACACAAATGAGATGTATTTGCTAAGTTCACCAAACTCTGGAAAACTCACATTTATAAAAATTGCAAGAGGAAAAAACATACAAGAAAATGACAAGGAGAAAAAAATCTTAACAGTAATACATACTTTCTACCCTTCAGCCCTACTGCTAAGCATATAGCTCACCTGATCAGAAAAATGTACTGCTGTTTTTCCTCACTCAGTACACAAGAAAAATCTACCCAACTTACTGCAAGCTCCTACCAGTCTACAAGACAATAAAGACAAAAATGAAGAAAACAGACACATTTTTGTAAACTCCATGATTAACAACCAGTCCTCCCAGAAGCACACCTATCATGTTCTAACAAAATTCTTGCCATCACTCAGAAGATTTCTTACAGCAGCATTCAGTTGAAGAGGCTGCTGCACTCTCAACACCTTGAAAACCACAAATAAACAAAAAAAAATACATCACTATCATCTCAACATCCCCCCAGCAAGGGCTGTGTAACACCACATTGATGTGATACAGGATGGCAGCGTGTCTGTGAAATACCACAGGACCAACATGCAGATGGAACTTCACTCACAGGTACGTGGTCTGTGAGGGACAAGTCAAGCTCATAACCAAGCCACACGAGCTCACCACCTATTTAGAATAAATTCTGTTTGCATTTCACGCTGTGTACCCAAGGTCTACCTAAACCACATAACTGTACATTTAATTCTTTTTAACTGATGCCAATTTTCAACGACGATTTGTGTTCTGCTAATTTCAGGACAGCAACACAACAGGTGCACAATCAAAGTAAATTATTGTACAGCCATCCCTTTGGTCTTTATTTAGAAGAGGGCCACTTGAGCAACACGTGATCTTGACAAAAATCATCATTTAAAAGTGTTACCAGCCTACCCAGTGAAATTTCCTTGATGTGCTTTTTACAGCGTAAACAGTAGAAAAAGCTTATTGCTTTTTCTTTCCAACTATCCTTTTTGTCTTTTTATACCCAAGATACACAAATTCAGTGTGTAACTAGTGCTCATCAGTATTTGTTAACACGGTGGACAAAATTACTGATGTATGAAATGTGTACAACCCACACTACCAAGACAGCATGAAAATATAACACAGTGAGTGAGAACTAAAGGTTGAGAGCTGCACAGCCCAGACCAGCAGCCTGCCAAGCTCCATGTGTGTAACCCAAGGGACACATTAGAGGAAAACATCAGAAAACCTCAGCAGTCCAAGCATCTAATTTATAAATAAACATACATATACTGGGAGTGATTGACAACGTGTGGAGACCATTGGCACAGGGTCATTTCTAGCTTTGGGTCAGCTGGCTGGGGCCTTATGCCACGGGCAGGGGCATGAGGTTTGGCAGGGCCTAGCAGGGTGCCCCAGTGAGAGAGACAGCAGGGGAAAACGTCAGCACAGCCTCATGAGCAGCTGCCAGACGGTACCCTAACATAGATCATAATCATCAGTACAGTTCAACAGTGTATTCTAATGTAAACACTCAGTTTTCCAAACTGAGCCCTGCCAGTGCATCCAACTGATTTACCATGTGCAAATCCTACCTGAGTCACTACCCAATTGATACTCCCTGAAACATGCCTCATGGTGCCTAGAGAAGGCAACTTGCCTATTTGTAGGTACATCCCTACTAATTGCTAGAAAATAACCAGGCTGCTCTTTATTGCACGCTCCCAAACAGATTATAAGAGAGAGCAAAAAAACCATCATGGTGGCAAGGAACTACCAGCCACGCAGGCCAATCCTTTGAGGAACTGTAACCCAGCAGCCTGAAAACCTCCATCCTCCTTCCAATAGTCCAAGCTAACTGCAGAACAGACCAACACCGAGCCCTCCTGTGCACCTTCCCCACATCAGCTCCAGGCTTTGAACTGGCACATAAAATTGATCTGATCAAATACACTGATCTGTTTCAGTCTGAATGAGCTTCTTGGCCTGGTTTTGACTTGCCACAGAGCAACCAGAGCACTTGTGAGGCCCAACCTGAAATACTGCGTTCAGTTTTGAACTCTCACTCTAAGACAAACTCAGCAGCTCAGCAGCGTGCAAACAACACTGGGAAGCACCTAGAGCACAGCACTAGGGAAGTTTGAGGGGAGCATGTTTCCTTAGTCTGGATATCAGGAGGCTAAAGCAGGCACTAACTGCAGTCTTCCAGTTACCTTTGGCAAGAGCCAATGCCTGCAACATTGAAAGCTCAACTGGAAATGAGAAAAAAAGTTCATGAACAAGAAGGTTCAAGCACACCACCTGTGGAATGATCGTCTTTGCCTATATTTCAAGTCACGTGAATCTGACTTCAAAGCTAGCTCTGCTTACAGCAGAGAACTGGACCAGGTAACCTCTTAAGTGGTTCTTTATGATTTCATTACAAACTTCATACAAAATTTCACATCTGACGCAGTAAAATATTATTTTCGGGTCTTCTAAAAACCCAATAGTGGCTACTAATGAAAGGCAATGCTTAGAGCAGTAATTCTCAAAAATGTGGTAAGGACAACACTAAAGCTTGGTAAGTAAGTGCATTTATATGTAAACTCACAACTTCCATGCAACTACACAGTAACAGTTCCTGATTGGCAGCATGAATCTGAGACTCAGCAGGAGCTCTTGGAAATCAATGTTTTAAACAAAGCAATGACTTCAGTAGTTACAGTGGAAAAAAAGTCACATGAAGAAGATCACAGCAGCATTAAGACTGATTCTACATTATTTGCAGGGACGAAACACCCAGAGTTTAAGTCCTTCCCTGACTCAAACTTTCACCACAAATGCCAAGCATGGTGCCATTTTTACTCAGCATGCTTCTAAAGTAGGAAAAAAAAAAAAAAAAGATGCCATTTAACCACGTATCAGGTAATGTGCACCATCTATTCAGCATTCACTTCAGCTTGCTGTGGTGCTGAGACTACCACCTTGAACCCACTGCTGGTTATCATGCAGACTCCTCACACACCAGCCCCTGCGCACACTGAAGAAAACCAGGGCTGCAGAACCTCGCCTACATTCTCTAGTGTAACAACACAAACCAAACCCTCAGCTAGTTAATACAGCCTCGTTCCTTGCAAATGGAATAGTTTCAGATTGTTCAGAATATTTTCTTCACTAAGCAAGCATGTTAACCAGTTTAAAAGCTGTTCATCACATCCGTCTCTTCACTTTCAAGATGTTGACTTCTACTCAGAAGATGAAAAACAACACCTATTCTGAGGTACTTCCACTTCCCCTCGGTCAGTGTCAAAATTACGAGCACCAGAATGATGACACATCAGTCAATAAAAGAGTGTAAATATTTCTTCTAAGTGATGGCAAATAAAAAACTCCCTAATTTTACTCAGGCAAAAACGCAGAAGACAACTATTGAAAAGTTTTTTTCGTTATTCTAAGACCAAAAAAAAAAGAAAATGAACTTTTAAAGTGTACTTGGTAAAATAAAAGGGCTCAGTTACTCTCCTACAAACCACACTGTGCTCGTATTCTATGATGTAAAATATTTCTCACGTCTTCTCTTCTAGAGTAATCCATGAAAAGCAACTATTGCGCAGTTGCAATATATATATATATACACACTATACTTCATATATATACACTATACATATATATACACTATATACATATATGTACATACACATATTCATATACACTATACTTCAAAGAGTTCACAAAGGACAAAATTTGGGACCCTAACCTAGCAACACAATGCATTTTGCAAGTGTGAATTATTTTCTGTACTGAAAATCTTTTTCTGTATTGAAAATCTTCATCTTGTGAGATGAACTTACAGTGCTTGAAATTAGCTGTGGAATTCTGAATTTAAAGTATCAGTACTCTCAACAGCTTTCTGTATGTGACAGTATGGAAGGAAATCTGCAATTTCAAACAGAAGAACAATGCGAAACCTCCCTCTGTGCTAAAACTACACCACAAAAATGGGAACTACTCGGGACTCAGATAAAAGACAACCATCACAATGCACGAGCACTACCTAATATGAAATATGTAACCCATGAAAAAATATGCATCTTCACAGTTTCTGAGATTTGGTAGGTGATGAACATCTGAAAGGACAAGTAGAGTCTATATATAATAGTTACATACCAGTTCCACATAAAGAAGGACAAATAAAAAACATACACTAGAGCTCAGACAGCCTACAATAAGCTGCTCATTCATCCCTTAAATTTCATTTCCCATAAACATACCATAAAAAATTAGTCTCAATTTGAGTTTGGCTTTAAGGTATGAAGCTTCCAAAAACTATAGTGATATTTTATTTATAAAAAATAGAAACGTTCACTTCAGTTATTAATAGCACATATGATAAGGAAAGTTAATCCAGCCACAGTCAAGCAGTCTATTTGTGAATCCTCAGCGCAGATCTCTAAAATCTCGTTTCCCTTGGATACACAAGTTCAGAATTGAATTCTTTATTTATTCAATACAATATTTTCCTACAAGCTTGTCATGGCAACACCATATCCTGACAATATTTTAATCTGAGAGCTTTCATCCTCAAAATCCCACAGAGAAAACCCAGAATAACTCATAACCTAGAGCTCAGGATGCTCACTGAGCCCATTGGATTCACAGGGTTGAACGCCCAGCTCAGCCCACTTCCCCTGCAAAGACCTTCCTATCACCGTGCCATTGCCTGTTT